ACTACCGATGTATGTGGATTAGTGTTTAAGATGTGTGACTGTCAGGCACGTGGATTCGGCAGGAAATCAGCGGTGGCCTGTTTTTGTAAATTAAGCCCGGGAAAAGGATGTTTTCTTTTGCTCTCCCATTGGTAGGTTTTTCTTTTGTTTTTGTTGTTGGGGTTCTGTGGCTGTCCCAAACGTGCGTGAAATCAGAACCAAGTTTTTTGGTTCATGAAATCACACACGTTTCACTCACGGCGAAGGCAAAGACGAATGGCTTCATCGATGGAAATTGATTGTGCTTTGGGAGGTGTTGGGGAGGGTTCGATCCCCTCACCTACAGCAAATGGTGTATGGAGTTACTCTTGCCCTCCTTTGCCAAAGAGAAGTTCTGTCAGAAAAACCGAACAGCGTGCACTGCGGCCTATTTCAAGGAAGCCTCAGACTATTGTCAATGAATATGGTCCGTATGCCCACTCACATGCAGTCGTCTTGACTGCCACAGACATGGTCAGTGAATCATATACCCTGACATCTAACACCCCGCCTGGAGCAGACACCATCTGTGAGAAGAGCACTTTCTTTTCTTTTTTAGCAGTCTTTTCTTCATTTGTTTGGTCATGAAATGTTTTTTTTGCATTTATTTCCCCTATTTCACGCTGCCACCCACATGTCCCCCAGCCGTCCCACACCCGTCACACTAATCCACATACATGGGGCAGGTGCAGCTCCCCACCAATAGATGGAGCCTTCAACGCTGGGACCTACTTCCCGGGGATGCTCTTATCACCTCCCTTAGTAGGTTTCCCGTATACGAAGTTCAAAAAACATAAAATAAAATAAAAATAAAAAAAATCCACATACATGGCTAGTGGGATCTCTCTCCAGGTCTCCATCCGTTATCTGCTTATGCACACATCTGCTCTGCTGTTGATCGAATACACAGATATTGCAATTCCTTTTATTCACTCATAATTTCAGAAATAAACCCATGAACACTTGAGAACATCAGACATGCATAAATTATAAAAAAACAAATAAATAAATACAAGGAAACATTCCCCATGTGACTGGTGCATTGAAAACCTGCAGGTCTCTACATCTCCTCCTCCTTATTACACAGCAAGGGGGCCACATTATTACCTCATTATTATGATATAACAAGAAAAGCGCCCCCAACAAGTGTTCAGACAAACTGCAATGGCAATCAACGGTAGTGAGCAATCATATGTGCACTCTAAAGTGTAGAGTTTTGCAAACACTTGTGCCTCCCCACTGACTGTCGGCTGCTCAAACGTGGGCAGGGCAACCCTCCTGACCGTCAATCTGCTGGCAGTGAGAGTTCAGCAACTGTCATGCATTGGAGGAAGGACGAAATGCACCTGGTCATGTGGGACAGATGCACATCACATAGCCATCCATCCTAAGGGCAAACTTGAAGGTCAAAAGGCCCCACAGATTTTCAGTGAGTTGGCATGAACATTACCGTTTCTAGGCCCAAATTCATGCTTCCTGAGCACTGACATAGGACCACTAGACCCTACTTAGCCCTACCATCAACCACACAATAACAAGCCTCTAATTTCACTTCACAATTTTCCCCACCACACCATCTCTCCCTCTCCTCAGCTCTGTCTTCCTCCACTAAATACTACACAGCCAGCGTGGGTCCCTTCCACAGACGTTACTCCTTCCTGCCCTTAGCTCATGCATGCACACAGTCTTCCCTTTAGCAAGGTCCCACTTGCCTGGAGTCTTCGTTGGTTTCTCACTGTTGATCTTCCTCATCAACGGTTAGAATTGCAGAATTCAGGACATTGTAAGAAGGGACCTCGGCACAGGTGGCGTTCGCCTATGGATGGCAGGCCCGTCTTTCATCCTCTTCTCCTCACATAAGAAGGTGCACTGCCCTCAGCAAAACCAAATGCCTGCCCTGCACTACCACACGCCTCCTACCTGATTTTGCTGGTTTCTTGTTGATTTCCTTTCTTTTTTTCTTTTTTGGAAAATACTAAAATAGCCCTTGTGATATCCCTCTATCATGGGGGTGGTAAGAGAACCATCAGAATTGAGGGCTTGTCTGTCGGGCTGCTCCACTCCATCTATTGGTGGGGAGCGGCACCTGCTGGAAACCGAGTCCAGCGTCCCATCGAATGGTCAGGGGTGAAGAATTCATGTAAGAAGGGTTCTCACCACAGGTGGCGTTTGTGGATGTATGGGCAGGCCTGTCTTTCATCCTCTTCTTCTCACATCGCAAGGTGTGCTGTCCACAGCAAAACCAAATGCCCGCTCTGCCCTTACCACAAGCCTGCTACCTGTGTTTCTTTTGTTTTCTGAAGAAAGGAGGACGGCCTTGAGCATCAAGATATCAGGAATTCAACTAGCTCCACCTCAAGTACTCTTTTTTTTTTTTCCTTTTTTAAGGAAAAGTCCTCCAATCTTTTTTTTTGCCCCAGGAGTCCTGCTTAACGAGGTGATAAGAGCATCCTCCTTAAGCAGGCCCCAGTATTGAAGGCTCCATCTATTAGTGGGGAGCAACACCTGCTGGAAATCGGTTCCAGCGTCCCTATACAACTCAATTGTTTGGCTTAGTGTAGTTATGCTTCGCCCAAGGCGTGAGCGTTGTTCAATGTATCCTGGCTGAAATTACTCCTGTGTGTTCTGGAGATCTATGATCTATGATTTCTATCTTTAATCAGTCACCCGGCGCCATTGCCGTTGTGTATTGTCTCAGACCTGGACTGCAATCTGGCCTGCTGACCCAGCCCATTGTGTGCATTATATGGTACTGTGACCATGTCGGGTAGCCGTTGGCCACCTGCATTTGCCCTCTCTCCAGGGATCCCATCTGCTATGTGTATGGTGTGTAGTGTGTGTATGGTGAGAGTGCTTGTGTATTGTGTATTTGTGTGTTTGTGTCGATGAATCTGTACGATCTGTATGATCTATGCTTCGTGTGCCTGTGCTGGAAAAGGGTTCCATATGCCGTGTGCGACAGTGTTATACTGTGGTGCTTTTGTATCCAAGTCGTGTAACACGATGTGTGATGTGAGTGTGTTGAGTGTGTTGAGCGTGTTGAGTGAATAGTGATCCACGGTGGATTTGTGGTAGTCAGTGGGCTGAAGAGATCCTTGTAACCAAGTGAGCAACTTGTGTAACCATATTGTGACCGTGTGAGCATACACCGGTGGACTCCTTTGCCTTCTCTGGGGGCTTCTTATGCGAGCACGTAGTCCCTCCATTCTAGAAACCTTAAAACATAAAAACCACTAAACCCCTAAACCCTTGACCTCTGGTCAACACTCCTTCATGCTCCCCCTATTGTTCCTCTGTTGTTCCTCCGAAGGCCCTGGCATTGTTGAAAATCTTCCTGGTATGAGAGTCCACACTTGGCTGGCATTTTAAGCAAAGGGTAGTTGGGTATAGTGGAGGGGAGGGCGGGAGGGGGGGGGGGGGGGGGAGGAAGAAGGGAAGAGAAAGGTGGAGGTTGAGATGTCTCCAACTCCGGTATCAGAGGTCGGGTATTTCTAGTCATAAAGAAGGGTGAAGTTAGGCATTTGAAAGGGGATGGTGAAGTTGTTGATCGGAAGCCTAAGCCATTGCGCTTCTGTAGCCAGCCACGACTTCCATCGTAATTGGTTTTTCTGGTCCAATTCGCATAATTGTCGTTTTCCATCTGTCCAAAGGGATCGAAAATTCTCCGAGAGATCATTCCGTTTGGTGAGATCCGATTCTGTGGTCAACATGAATTTGAGCTCTTTCCATGCTGCGTGCGTGTTTACAGTTATGGTCTGCATGATTGAGGCCTTGGCCTCCACGAACCCAAACATGTGTTGCTTGGATCCGTGCGCGCATCTCATACGCCATGCCGCCATGACAATTGGCAGCCGAGTGATGTTGAAGAGATTTGTCATAAACGAAGACCATAGGTTTGCTTGCGGTGAGATTTCTCCCAACACGATTGTCTTTAGATCCCACATCATATGTGTGTCCGTTAGGTGGTGCCATGTTGAGTCCCACCATCTCCATAGCTGGGCTACCATCTGACAGTCAAGAAGACCAATGTCGCCCTTTTCTTGGGGGAGGCATTTCCATAGTAAGTGCACAGGGGGGACAGCAGGCCCCGTAGTTCCAGGTCTGTTCTAGATGCCAACCAATCAGGTGTCGGTAGGCATCTGTGTATGATCTGCCACTGCAGGGCTGTAAGGTTTGTGGGCTGTATTCGTGAATAGGCTGTCCACCTGATATTGTGAAGATCCTGTTTTTTTAAGGGGCGAGTCTCTTTCTCATCAGGTCGTAATGGGGTCCAAAATTTGTACCCTTTTGCGTGCCTGTCTATAGCCCTCTTTAACTGTGTATTGTCAGATTGGAAGCTTGCGCTTTCTCGCCATGGACCATTCCCATTCCTGGGGGTCGAAAGGCAGGTGGGCAAGAGGAACTGTTGGTTCATAAGCGAAGGGTCCCTTGTCACCTTCCTGAAGCACTCGAACTCTGATAAAATCGTTTTGGGGTCTGTGGTGGTCCAGTTCGTCGTGCCAAGTTAACTTGGACCATCTTTCTCTTGGTAGGTGGGGCCTGTGCGCTTGCAGTGAAACATGATGAGTGAATATTGATTCCACTTTGTAGATTGCCATGGGGAGTGACCAATCCTCTTTTGGGATTACTCAGTCTCCTTGTTTGATCATCGGTTCTCGTTTGAGTTCCGCCACCCATGCCAGCGAGATGGCCTCTTGTATCTCGCTTAGCCCTTCCTCAAGATTTCTAACCCGAGATAATTGAGGTCTGAGATCCACTTCGGTGTTCCAGGTTGTGGTTTGGCTGTTCCATAGGTCTCCAACCGTATATATTCCTTTTTTAGCCCATGTGAGCCATCGTGAACCATTATGGAGGGAGAGGGGGTGGCTTGTGTTGTCTAGTATGTGGGGGTTCCCAAATATCGGTTGTCTGCTTATTTCCTTCTTTTTTTTTTTTTTTTTTTTTTTTTTTTTTTTTTTCTTGAAAGGGCCCAGTGCCCAAGACTCCAATTATGAATTTGATTACAACACTAAATCCACACGCTAAATCCACACGCCTCTTCCCATTAGGGCAGGAAGAGCCTCAGCCACTGCTCCCCTGGAGACAGCTTCCCTGCAAACCAGTAGTATAGTAAAATCACGGGGCATTGAGTGCTTCCCCAGTAGGGAAGGATTAACCCCGCGGTGTGCTGAATCAGACTCTGCCCTGCTCAACTCCTCAATCATCCACTGCAATCTTCTGCGCACTGAGGAGCAGGGGAGATGCAAATAAGGCAGAGATATTGGTAACAGGGCTAGCTAGTTCAGCAGTTTGTCGATAATCACGATGAGCTTCCCCCCAGGGTTGTAATTAGCCACTGACCACTCAAGTGGGGAAAGTTCTATTCAAGTCTGTTGCAGAAAATTCAAACCGGAATAGCCACGTGGCAGGAAAGGAATGTATCACATCCTCAGTCCTGGTGCGTACCACCACTATGCCTCCTGCCCTGCCACGTGGCGGTAACCCATGTTTATATTGTCGATAGTCACGATGAGCTCCCCCCCAGGATTCTAATTAAGCTCTGACCACTCAAGTGCGGAAAGCACTATTCAAGTTTGTTGCAGAAAATTCAAAACGGAATAGCCACGTGGCAGGAGAGTAATCTATCACATGCTCAGCCCTGGTACGTAACACCACTATCCCTCCTGCCCAGCCACGTGGCGGAAATCCATGTGGCAGGAAAGAAGTCTATCACATACTCAGCCCTGGTGGGTAACACCACTACTCCTCCAGCCCTGTCACGTGGCGGAAACCTGTGTGTTGCTAGTCACGATGAGCTTCCCCCCAGGATTCTAGTTAGCCACTGACCACTCAAGTGAGGAAAGCACTATTCCAGTCTGTTGCAGAAAATTCAAAAACGGAATAGCCACGTGGCAGGAGAGGAATCTATCACATACTCAGCCCTGGTGTGTAACACCACTACCCCTCCTGCCCAGCCACGTGGCGGAGACCCATGTTTATAGCCAGAGGGTATGAAAATCGTAATACCCACTTGGCAGGGCTCAATCACACAAACAGCTCCGGTGCCGGCCCCCACGACACCCCCTGCCAGCTGGCCAAAGTGCTCTTGAGTAGGGAAATTTGGAAAAAGGCCAGATCACAATACCCACGTGGCAGGGGACAAAGCAGTCAGAAAAGAAGCCCCCTGTGGCCAGTGGCCACTTGGCCAGATTCAGATTCGGTAGAGCCATCCTAAGCCCTGCACCCCTATCGGATCTGGCATCTTGACATTTACTATCCTACCCCATTTCGCCACCGCCCCCTCCCAACTCACCAATCAACCAATCCCCACAGCTCTCTCCCCACTCAACCCCTGATGAGCGAGATAAGGAAGACAAGAGGGGAGGCCGGGGGTGGGAAAGAGAACAGCCTGTTGTACTTACCACAGCATCGATGTTGTTGGCCAGTCGTTGTCCCCGCACACCCCCTCCCAGTTTACCACTCAACCAATCCCCACTGTCCTCTCCCCCCTCCACACTGGATGAGCGAAAGAAGGGCGACAAGAGGCGAGACAGGGTGTGAGAAAGAGAATAGCCTGTCGCACTTACCACAGCTTCGATGTTGTTGTTATTATTGTTGTTGTTGTTGTCGTTTTTCCTGGCAGTATCGTTATCTTCATTGGTTTTGGTATAGTTGCTATCTCTCCCGAGCCCGCACGACCTCAGAATCTCACCTTCCATACCTCCGTCGTGCACAGTGCTGGTGTAGTTGGTGTAGTAATTATTGTCGAAATGGATATCGTATGCAGATGTCGGTAGAGACATCGCTGACACCGTTGCAAATGCAAGCAGCGGGGACATCGCCGTCGTGTTGATTGTCGCTGTTGCTGAAGCCATGGTTGCACTCGCCGTCGTAGGTGTTCCAATCGGTAGAGACATCTCTGACACTGCTGCAGATGTAAGCCGCGGAGTTGGCGCCGTTGTGTTGATTGTTGCTGTTACTGACTTCATGGTCGCACGCGCCATCGTAAATGTTTCATTCAACAGCCTCTCCTTCAATTGATCGTAGTAATCAATTCCTTCGCTGTAGATCATGTTACAGTTAATTATCAGAGTTTCCGCCCGCTGCCAATTTACAAACGGCTCCAGTTCTGGATCCTCCACAATCTGCCAGAGGATAGTTGTCAACTGCCGGCACTTATCCTCCAGCCATGTGGACATAGTAGATCCCCCCAAATCCACCATTGACCCAGCCTGGGCCGCGGAGGCCAAGGCTCCAGCAATCTGTTGCATGTGCTGCTGCGAGTCTTCCAGCCCGGCCACCCATTTGTCTGCCTGACGTTGAAGATTCTCTGATAAATGTATCTCCTGTAGAAGCTCCGCGTATGTTGCTCCCTGCGCAAGGACGCCTTCTTCACGCTGACCACGAGATGCCACCATCTCGCCCACCCCTCCACCTGCCCCTCCACTCAATCTCGATAGCTCCATTGCTGACTGGCCTCCGAGCAGACTTCCGTGGTGAAGTCAACGTCATCCGTCTTCCTCGGTAACTCCGAGGCGTTGGGTTCCAAGACCGCCGAACCCGTCGGCCGGTTCGTTCCCCTCACGCTCGCGCCTGCTGTGGTGCAAACCTACCCCGTGGGCTGGGGAGAGATCCCTGTCTGCTTATTTCCTCCCATCTGATCTAGGGAGTGTTTTGGATTGAGCCCCTTTCTCTCCAAAGTCTCAGGAAAGAGGTCCAGAGAGGATCAAGCCTCAAATCCCATTTGGCCGCATTTGAGGGTGAGTCCTCTGTGCGGGGTCGGGGCGGGGCTGGGAGGGACCATTCCTTATTGGTCAGCCACTGCAGCGGCTGTATTGGTTTTGCTGTTGCAGTCTGCGGGGTCAGGGCGGAGATCTGAATCAGGGCATAGGGGGCCCCAGGGGATGGTGTTCCTATCAGTAATCTTATTAGAAATTCAAATATGAGTGCCTTTATTTCGTTCTCCGGGTCCACAATGCCCAATCCACCCTTTGTCCTCGGTTGTGTGATCACCTCCCATGCCATTCTTTTGATACAGTCCGTTTTTCCATGGTCACCGCGCCACAAGTATGTTGAGGCTGCTCTCCGGAGGCATTTGAGTTGTCGCTTGCTCAACTGCGGATATTCTATTGCTTATTGCCAATGCTCGTCCTATTAAGGAGGTGGGAGTCTTCTTCCACGCTTCCATACGGTGGACAGCCAGATCCACCAGATTCTCCCCATGATCTGGGGGGGGTTCCAAGGGCTGTCAGATTTACACCTAGGACCCGGATGGCGGCTTTCTTTGGTCTCCCGTCCACCCGTTGTGTGCGGGTGGGGGATTGTCAGCATTGCTAAGCCACCATCCTTCCGTCTTCGTTCCCCAATTGACTCTCATGTCAGCCGCAATTTCGAACAGATGTATAGTGTGTGCCAACGCCTGGAGGTTTGCATTAGTGGCTCTAAATAGGAAAGGCTGGACAGTAAGGTCATCGACGAATATGGATATGATCGGAATCAGATGTGGTGGTATTTTCTATACGTCGATCCTATGGATTTCAGGGTTAGCCCTGATCATCGCTGCAAGAGCTTTCATTGTGAGAACGAACAACATTGGGGCGATGGGGTCTCCTTGTCTGACCGATCTCTGCAGTGTGATAGGTGGTGCCAAGTGCCCATTCATCATTACATTGGTAGTGGTGTTCCGGTGAAATATGTTTATCCACTTCCGAAAGTGGGGCCCGAAGTTCATTTGTTGGAGGCACATTTCTAGGAAGTCCCAGTCCACATGGTCGTACGCTTTTTCAAAGTCAATGAATAAGATTGCTGCGTCAACTTGACATTGCCTAGCATATCTGAGGGTTTCGTTGACCAGTAAAATGTTGTCTTCTATGTTCCGGTATGGCATGAAGCCGGACTGATCGGGGTGGATAAGGTGTGACAAGTAGGGGAGAAGTCTACTGTTCCACACCTTAAACACGATCTTATAGGAGACTGGGAGGAGGGTTATTGGCCTGTAATTTCGGATCTCTTCCTTGTTTGTTGGGAGCAACGAGTGATGGGAACCAGACCGGCGTTCCTTTTTTTTTCCCCTTCAAAAAAGTCCAGGTTGTTTTAGAGGCTGAATACTAGACATATGACAGTCACCCTTGGTGATCGGGTATTCAGTTATCCAGATGGACCCCTCAAAAGACCCCACCCACCCTTCCTCACATCAATTGCCTTGGTGCACCCCTACCCCCCCTGTTCTATTTTTTTTTAGGAGATTACGAAATTCCGACCATCACCATCTTTTTTTTTTTTTTTTTTTCTGGCAATCTATGGTTAGCGACAACCAACCAGACATATAGATTCATTCCAAATTCCAATCTATGAGGATTAATAATTGCGTATATGTACTATATGATCGACCAATAACTGCAGATTCGATTAGATCCAGTCCCATCAATGATTGAGTGTTGTATCGTCAGAGATGATGTAAACTAGAGTGATAGCCATAGATTGGATTCAGGTCAGTGATAGCCAATAGCCATACATTCGACTCACTTTAGTGATCGCCAATAGCCATACATTGGACTCATTTCAGGGATCGCCAATAGCCATAGATTGGGTTCACTTCAGTGATAGTCAAAACAAACACGCTCAAAAAGGGAAAAATCAAATTTTGCGGTACTTCATCGTGAATATAGTCTGTGAAAATGTCCTCTATTCCCACATGCATATGCCAAAACAGTAGGATATTTAACGGATTATGGGAATGGATCTGACTGCGTATTTGGTTAGGTACATGCAGGATTGTGCCAGTTTGAGTATTCCTATGATGATTTGCAATTTGCGACCAGTCGCCTCTCCTTCATGGAAACCCTGAACCCTAAAGGTGTGTGTGTGTGTGTGTGTGTGTGTGTGCGTGTGAGAGAGAGAGAGAGAGAGAGAGAGAGAGAGAGAGAGAGAGAGAGAGAGAGGTGAGAGAGGTGAGATGGTCTGCCAGCATAGTTGCCATTTCGTCAAACTAGAGATTCTTGTGGGCTTTCCAGCCATGTTCACTTCGCTCTACACATACCTCCTTGCGCCATCTTCAACAACACTTTCCCATCGTCCCTACCACTTCAGGTCCTTTCATGATTTTCAGGATGCTCTTTATGCATTATGAAAATCATGAACAGGCCCGAAGTGGTGAAGATTATGAACGGTCTGAAACCACCCCCCCTCGGTGAGGGGGTGCTTTCATATCATTCCTGATGTTCACCACTTGAGGCCCGTTCATAATTTTCATGATGCTTTTTATGCATCACCGGGGGGTGCTTTCATACTATTCATGATCTTCACCACTTCATGTTTGTTCATGATTTTCATGATGTTGTTTATGCATTAGGGTGGGGTNCTACTATCCTACCTCAATGTGACCAACACTCAGGCCCATCACCCTACCAATATTGAGGGCAACTTGGACCAGACAGCAATGACAAGCACCAAGGTTGGGCCAACCTCCCAGCCCTGATGGAAGCGAAAGTAGACGAACCTTGCCGTAGGGGAACTTCGGACGCCAGGCTCATGCAATCTTCTACAGGCCCAATTCAGAGAGTCTTCCCAGAAGGATTACCTAAGCAAGGCAGGCCAGTGCCCGCAGACACATCCTACCGTCCTTTCCCTAGCTTACCCAAGGCTAGGTGAAACTCAGACTAGCCGGAGCAAAGCGGACAAACCTTGTCGTACGGGACCTTCGGGCGCCAGGCTCATGCAATCTTCTACAGGCCCAATTCAGAGAGTCTACCCAGCAGGATTACCTAAGCAAGGCAGGCCAGCGCCTGCGGACATATCCTACCATCCTTCCCCTAGCTTACCCAAGGCTAGGCGGAACTCAGACTAGCCGGAACGACTTATATCCCTACCCATACCCTAGAGCTAAGCCATGTGTGAGTAGACCCCGTCATATACCTAATAGCCCACCCAGCCCAGTATCGTAGTTGTGTGTATGTGTGTGTGTCAGAGGCTATGTATGTTTGTATGAGCCCATAGGGCCATGTGTTCTTGTATCCGCCCGAACGCTATGTGTGCTCTTTGTAACTGTACAGCGAGATGTATGTGCCCGAAGGCCACATATGTGTAGTGTATGTGTGCTCTGTGTAACTGTATAGCGAGATGTATGTGTCCGAAGGCCAGATATGTGCAGTACTATGTAAAGGGAACTATGTGTTCGTTTGAAGAGATGACATGCCAAGCTGGACAAGAACCCCCCCGAAAGTCCCAAGCGAGACTCGAACCCGTGATCTATCACATGTGACCTGAAGACTCTACCATTTTAGCAACAATCGCAAACGGCCCCTGTGTGGTGTTACATGCTACGTCTGCACACACGGGCCATTTTCCAGGCCCTGCGTCCCACAGGCTGAAAGCCTGAAAACCAGGGCCTACAAGCCCCGTGTCTGTTCAGCTCGAAAGCCTGGAAAACAGGGGCCTACAGACCCTGTGTCGTTTCAGACTAAAAATGGCAATAGCATTTATAGCCTGAAACGAAGGGCCATTTTCGACCGTTCATCAAAACTACCGGCCCTAAAACTCAGGCACCGAACCAGGGTTTCGGGAACAGGCTATTCTTAGCCTGTTYCCACGACAGCCTCAGCAGATGCTGCAGCTCCAGCCCCTGGCACACTTCAGCATTAGCAAGAGCAGCCTCCTCGGCCTGGCTCGCCCTGCAGGCAGTCAAGAGGCAGGCCGAGGTAGTACATAGGGACTTCCCATGCACTTCACGGGGAGACAGAAGGCAGTCGGTAATCTTCTGGATTCGCCAGCAGCACTCTGGAGGGAGCGCTGCAGAACTAGTAGTAGCGTTAGCATTAGTCTTCAGCGCTGGGCGCCAGTAGGTAGTTGTAGGCTTCAGCGTTGGGCACCATAGCTAGGATAGCACTAGAGAGAGAGAGAGATTGGGCGGAGGCCTGGAGTACCTACCTGCAGCGCCGTTGCTCCAGCTTCGTCTTTGAGGTACCTGCAGCACAGCGCCAACTTCACAGGTTAGTATCTGACTCGTGATAGAAAGAGAGTTCTTCTTCTTCCTCTTCTCAGTCCACCATCTCCCTCTCACCCTCTCATTATCTGACTTCATTGCATCAGCAGACTACGAGAGAAAGAGAGGGAGAGAGCTTGGTGACATTGGATCCAGACTCGACTTTTGGGCTTCAAACATTACGAAGAGGGATTATTTGAGACTTGTGACAAAGACTTGGTGTTGACGACATTCCCATCTCTCCCCCTCGCTTCGTCTGATCCCCTCCTCTTCGTCTGTGTGTGTCTGGACCTGGCGCTTTCTTCCTGTGTACAGCGCCAGGCTCCTTCACACCTTGTGATGGACACGATGTATGTTTGGTCTGCGTTCAAACATTAATTGGGTTAGTCATTAGCATTCTAGCATTTTGCTTTGCTATCTTATACTACGTGAATAAGGTCAGTCTCAGTCAGGTCAGGATTTGTATCTGAGTCTTCCCTGCGCTATTCAGCACCATTTTGTATGTATCAGAATGCACATTGCTTGTTGAGATTCTACTTGCATT